CTTTAACTTATCTATTGTTTCAGAAACTTTACCTCTGACTATTCAAGATGGCTGGTATAAGGAAAAATTGCCGGGAGACATGCTGGGGGTAATTTTAATGATTTTCATGCATTTGTATGCCAGCCTTTTCTCGATGTTTTTTTCTACCAGGCTAAAATTAAAACCATAGTTTATTAGCCAAATTCCAAACTGTGACACCCAAGAAAAGAAAAGGTGCAGTTAATCCCGTTAACGTTGTTCAGTAGTAATTATGTAAAGACAACAACAAAGTCATTTCCTTATAAAATACGCGTTTAATTTCTTTGCCAAAAATTGTAGTTCCAGTATAAAGTTCTAAAACTTCTCTACAATGTCAATTATAATTGATTTGCTAGTTATTTAAAGTTCAAATCACAATTATTGCTGGGATTTCTAAATGCCTTCTCATTCAGATGACTTGTTGTCGTTGTTTTTATGTCTTAACAGCGCTAAAGAATTGGCTGTATATGGAATGTCTACTATATCATTGTATAGATCCCGATCATTTTTCTCTCGCATTAGGATATATTTTGTTGATGAATACAGCAGCTCAACTCTCAGGCATTATGCTATGACATAGTTGCCTTTGCAAAATGTTCCTCAAAGACATCAAAGTCGCCCTCCAACAGCAGTCTCAATGCCCTCGATTCCAGTAACCCTATTGTATTGTATGCCAAAAGTGTTGAGTTGCAATTTTGATGGTTTTTTTTTCAGTTTTTCTTCAACTCTGGAAAGTACTTAGTATGTGATACTAAAGAAAAGCAAGAACCAAAATCCTGGTTAAGAACTGACTTTATTGAATTCAATGGCGCTAAGCGCGTGTTCATTTACATTGGTTACACCATCGGAAAATGTAAATCAAACTCAAAATACTGCAAAGAGCAGTTTAAACTTTACACAGCACAAACTAACAAGTCTGCATCAAGTCCTAAACCTCCAAATGGATTTGAGGAAATTGCACTTGCAAATCCTAAAAACCTCAAAGATGGAGTTCCAGATGAAAAGGACGTTATTGTGTTGAATGCAACAATCAAAGCAAAGATGGGTGGATTTTATCTGGCTTTGTTGGATCAAGGTGTATGTCTCACATTGTACAGCATCAAATTAGTTTACTACGTCTGTCCTGAAAGAGGAAAATATCTTGATTTAATCAAGTTTCCTAAAACCATATCTCCAGCTGAAGACATTGTAGGATCTCAGGGCCAGGAAGTCCATGGATTCTGCTCTGATTCAAATGCTAAAAATACGACTGAATTACTGGGTGTTTGCACAACCAAAGGAGTGTGGAAGGTGAATAGTGATGTCAGGTGTCTGTGCAAACCTGGTTATGGATACTTACCAACTCCTAAAGCACACTGTGCAGGTAGGCATTACCATACGAATAAAGTATCTAGATGACATTGTAATTAGTGGTTCTTGTTGGTGTAAGATGACAACGAGTTCGTTCCCAATAGAGAACTTTTAAGATCTTTTGAAACCAACACACCATTTTGTGCCATGATTGGCACGGGTGGGTGAGTATGTTTATCTCTTAGATTATCAAGATACGCTCAAATCTTCCCGATGTAATATTGTCATTATCTGTCAACCCTGTAATCTACCCGTTTATCTGGTGTAAGTGGTGTTAACCGTGCCAATTTTCAGATCGGGGTGTACCTTTTAGTAATACCATGATCACCTCGGATTCTCTTGTCTTCCGAGGGATGTTTACAAGCGAACATCCCTCCCTCATGAATAGCACGAGGGACGATTACTAGTAATCGTCCCTCATGCATAATAACATGAGGGACGATTACCAGTAATCGTCCCTCATGTTATTCATGAGGAACGGAAGGCAAAGGAAACCTTTGCTTCCCAGCAGGGACAACTGAATGTCCCTACAGCTGTCTCCTTTTTACCTATGCAACGAACGGTCTGGTTATCGTCTCAGTCACACTGAAATGTGGGATGATTTTTGGGCCAAATTGGCCGAGTAGCTCTGGTTCCGAGTCTCTACTTCGTACCGCTGAGCATGTGCAATTAACGAATTTCAATGTTTGATAATAGTTGATAAGCTTCTTGGCATTATACTTGCAAATATAAAAACAACTTTTCGGGGTTGAAGTTAAGGTTCGTTAACTTCAGCATTGAATAGAACTGAAAAGCAATTTCAAACAAAGNTTACACAGAACAAACTAGCAAGTCTGCATCAAGTCCTAAACCTCCAAATGGATTTGAGGTAATTGCAGTTGCAAATCCTAAAAACCTTAAAGATGGAGTACCAGATGAAAAGGACGTTATTGTGTTGAATGCAACAATCAAAGCAAAGATGGATGGATTTTACCTGGCTTTGTTGGATCAAGGTGTATGTCTCACATTGTACAGCATCAAAGTAGTTTACTACGTCTGTCCTGAAAGAGGAAAATATCTTGATTTAATCAAGTTTCCTAAAACCATATCTCCAGCTGAAGACATTGTAGGATCTCAGAGTCAGGAAGTCCACGGATCTTGCTCTGATCCAAATGCTAAAAATAAAACTGAATTACTGGGTGTTTGCACAACCAAAGGAGTGTGGAAGGTGAATAGAGATGTCAGGTGTCTGTGCAAACCTGGTCATGAGTACTTACCAACTCCTAGAGCACACTGTGCAGGTGGGTATTACCATAGGATACGAATAAAGTATCTAGATGACGTCGTTATTAGTGGTTCTTGTTGGTCATGGCCAGAAAATACGGACATAGGAGCCCGCAATCGCAGCGGTACTTCGCATAAAACTCAAAAACATGTTTATTAATTTTACAAAGAAATGTACGGATCAAAAAAATTATTTGAGAATAACATTTCATCTGTTAACTGGAAAGATTTCAAAGATGAATTCCTAGTGGGAAACTATTCTTGATTCCACTGTAGGAGATCAAAATAAATCCAATATTGTTAAGAGCGTCCTTTTTGACAATTTATTTTCCTTTCGTCGTCTCCCTTTGCCCTTGTATCTCATGGTGAAAATCAGCGAAGAAGCGAAATTTCACCGTAGCTGATCGTGTTCCTTTACATGTCACTGATATTTCATAGATCATTTCTCAAAGTCCACATATTGAGGTAGAAACACAGCGATTTTCAGCTATTTTGAAGACGACAATTAAACAGCGTCCTTTTTGGTACTAGAAATCGTACAATTTGAAAACTCTAACTTGACGGTGAAATGGCTGGCGAAGACTCCTGTTTCATGCGAATTAATAATTGGCCTCGATCTTCCATTTTCTTTTATTCGCCATGTTTGGTACCAAAATAAACCTTAGAAACGTGGTTTTCAGACTGGGACTGCTTTTATTTTACCGGTTTTTACTGGCGCCTTGCGCGCAGTGTTAAATAGCAGGAAATACGAACGAAAGATCAAGTCTAGGCTATTTAGTGTTAACAATGTCAGACCTTTTAAATTCCCTAGAAATGTACAAGTATAAACAAAAGATCACAATATCAACTGATGATCATTGTTTAAAATACCTGAGGGAAACGTGTGTTCCAGCAAATAATATTATTTACACTATGAACATTCCAAACGAGCACCTCACAAGCCACTAATGAACTCAAAGGGTCAGGGCGTGCTATCCCAATACTCGTTTGTCGATGTTTTGAACGTTTCGATTTTAGCCCAGTACTGTATTAAAAGATAAAGGATCGTTCCCCAATATATGATACCCGAATTGAGATTAACAACACCATAGCCAGGATATATCTAGGAACGTGAAATCAGGTACATTTTGAGGAGGCAAAACACATTTGGTGATGCAGCATAAAAAGAAACTCAAGGTTTTTAGTACCAAAAAAAATATCATAATACATAATAATGACAAAAGAAATCGACTCGTTCCGTTAGTCCCCGAACCTCAGTGATAATTAAAATTCTTTTCAAATTGTGTGTTTATTCATATTCAGAATGTGGTCATGGCCAGTACAAGAATTCTCTTAACAACAGCAAGTGTAAGAGATGTCCAAATGGTTCTTACTCTTTTGGACGAAACACAATGTGCGTGTGTCATCCAGGGTTGTTTAGGATGAATAAAAATAAATATGATGAGCCATGTTACGGTAAGAATCGTGTAATTCTGTCTATCATTAAAGCTGTATTTGTTTGAGAGGTAAGCATTATGGAAAAAGTTAAAAAAGGAACTTTATATTTCTAGTTTGCAATATCGTACTGTTTGACTGATCCAAATATTCCATTGATATTAATCACAATCTAAAAGCTTAGCACATGTTTATGAGCAAAAACAAACAACAAAGAGATATACATGATGGACGCATAATGCCTCGGTTTGTTTTCAAGCCTGGGGATCGCATTGCCTGACACGGTCATTTTGATAAAATCTAATTTAAACAATAATGTCTTTAAATTACAACAATAAATATGAAGCCTAATACNTTCAATCTTTTATTTATTCATTCCATGCATTCGTTCATCCATTTATCCCTTCTAATTAAAGATGTGCTGTGCACACTGTATAATATCAAGCATATTTAATGGCAGTTATATTTAGACTCATACATGTATACAGTATATATTTAGTATAAACATATTACTAATGGTCTATCACTCATACTGCGCTGTGATTGGCTACTAATGGTCTAATTTGTGATAGACCACTTGCGGGAAAATCAAAATAAATAAATTATAAATTATAAATTACTTTCAGGATATTTCAATTTGTTTTCATTATTTGACCTATTAGTATGTTTATACTAAAACAATTAGACCTCTCGGCCTCGTGGACTACGAGCTAATAGCCCATTCGGCCTCGCAGACTCGTCCTTATGGGCTATTAGCTCGTAGTCCACTTGACCTTGAGGTCTAATTGTTAAATATAATATAAGTTTATCCCCTGTCTACACTAGTAGACTTAGAGTGATCAGTGATCCTATCTATAAATGTTCCTTGTTACCTTACTCATAAAATAACAAATAAGAGTATTACAGTACTTACCCACTTATAAGAAACTGCAATTTAAGAACCTGTTAGCCTAAAAATATCAATTTAGACTCCACTCCATTTACACAAGAACCTATTTAGCCTAAAATTTGAAACAGGTTCTTATAGTAAGGTTTCAACTCAAAAATCTTCATTTAAAAATACATACTCACACTGTAGTCATATATTATTCTTATGATATATATGCAAAACAATGACAACTCAATCTCCCTAGTATTAGAAATTAAGAACCTAAGTAAGAACGTGCTTTGCCAAAATTACTTGCAACTTACCCCTTAAAACAAGAACCTTTTTGCCTTTTTTTTTCAAAAAATAAGGTTCTTATTTTCAGGTGTTTACTGTATCGTCCCTGTATCATCGGTAGGTACACCCCTAAGATATCACCCCTGTACCATCTGTAGGTACACCCCTAAGGTATCATCCCTGTACCATCGGTAGGTACACCCCTAAGATATCATTCCTGTACTATCAGTAGTTACACCCCTAAGATATCAGGACGAAACACAATGTGCGTGTGTCATCCAGGGTTGTTTAGGATGAATAAAAATAAATATGATGAGCCATGTTACGGTAAGAATCCTGTAATTTTGTCAATCATTAAAGCTGTATTTGTTTGAGAGGTAAGCATTATGGAAAAAGTTAAAAAAGGAACTTTGTATTTCTAGTTTGCAATATCGTACTGTTTGACAGATCCAAATATTCCATTGATATTAATCACAATCTAAAAGCTTAGCACATGTTTATGAGCAAAAACAAACAACAAAGAGATATACATGATGGAAGCAATGCCTCGGTTTGTTTTCAAGCCTGGAGATCGCTTTGCCTCATTAGGCAAGACACTTAACTTTCTCTTGAGTGCTTCTTTGCGCTTGTTGTGTAAAAGACAATGATCTAGTAGAGTTCCTAGTGGTATGATGTGGACTCATTTCATGGTCCTCTCATCGATACTAACCGTTCAGGGTGTTAAAAGTGTTGTACGAGCTGACCTTGTCGGTAATTTGCTTGAATCACGTTACCTCGTAACTAACATTCAATGACGCGTATAGTCCACACCTCTTTATCTTCAAATTAGCCATTCTGTTCAATATCATCCCAAATAAAGCATATAGCCATATATTTTATCTATGCTATCTGATACTAGTTTTTCCATAATATATTTTATTGACATTTTTTACTCCGTTCTTCATTGTTAAGCTCTTCCTAGTGGCCCTAAATCTATAAACACAACTACGTGGAATAGATCATCCATCCTTGTGTCATGGATTCCCTCAAGAGACAAGGCTTTAGCCTTCACTGTTGAATGTTTCATGTGTAAAAATGACAAAGATAAGAAATGTGTTGAACCATGTAACAGCAAAACAATATTTCACCCTGGTAAAAGTGATCTTAAAAGACAAGTACTTGTATCCGGCCTAAAATCTGGCTCAAGATTCAAGTTTCTTGTCTTTGGAGTAAAGCGCTTGAATCAAAAAGTGCAAAAATCTGAATGGAAATACTCTGTGACTTTCGGCAACACAAAAGAAGGTTAGGTGGGGGGATTTGATCTTGATCTAATATCTTTTTTATATATTCACAGCCGCAATACTCTTGTTCAAAAGCGTCTTCATTGTCTTCGTTATCCGCAGAGATTCTTTAATTCTGGCGCTGATTTGATATTAGAGACCTACAATCGTGGACATAAATGTTGACAATTTTTACGCACGCACGAAATTTCTAACATTCTTCGTCGATAAAACCTTACTCTTGCCCCCCCTTCCCCCAATACAATGTTGTGTGGCTTTCTTTTCATTGGTTGTCCATTCATTAACCCCTGCATGCAACATTGATGCGGGAGGGGAGGGAGGGAAGGGGAATATTTTCAGTTTATGCACACGATACAGTATTTTTAATGCTCCAGCGAAAAATTGTCAAGTATTTATGTCCACGATTGTCTGAAACTGTATTTGTAAAAATTTAATGCGCGCTTAAAGGAATCATGCCATGTTTATACTCAAAAGAATCGCCGTTACAAAAGCAATACGTTCGTAGGAAAAGTTTAC